GAAGACAGAGTGAGAGTGCAGGGCTCTGTGCCATGAAGCCCCGGGTTCATCTTGCTCTGCATGTTCTGGGGCAGCTGGGGCTTGGGGATGAAGGGAAAGTGCCCTTGTGTATTAATGTCTTAGGTGGCTAACAGCAGGGTGAGTGATGAAGGAAAGAAAGCCAGGAAGGAAAGGATGAAGGTCTGGGTTCCCTGGCTCTGTCACCACTTAGGCAATCTGTTTTCACTTTCACTTTCTCTTTTACTTTCTTTTCCCTAGTCTTTTCAAGTTGCAACTCCCTAGCCCCTTTATGGAGGCAAACATTTTTTTTTTTTTTTTTACCCCATTGTATGCTTTTGAAAAATTACAGATTGGGATTATTTTCCTTTTTTTTTTTTAAACACTGAGTGTGTCACATTGCATGTCACTTACATTATGTTTTTTTGTCAAAGAATATTTTGGAGATTCATAATTAAAACTTTTAAAAAGACATGGCTGAGAAATACCTTGAACACAAGAGCAGCTCAATTTTTTTTTTTTTTTTTTTTTTTTTTTTTTTTTTTAAAAACAAGTACTTTTTTTTTTTTTTTTTTTTTTGAGACAAGGTTTCTCTGTGTAGCCCTAGCTGTCCTGGAACTCGCTCTGTAGAACAGGCTGGCCTTGAACCCACAGAGATCAGCCTGCCTTTGCTTCCCGAGTGCTGAGATCAAAGGCATGTGCCTTCACCACTGCCTGGCCAGCTCAAATTTTAAAAGTAAAAATTTCTTGACTTCCAAAAGAAAACAGAAGTCACTGAAAGGCTGTGATCAGGTCCCAAATGACCAACTAACTTATTATTTGGCTACATGAGGAGGAAGGGAGATGGGAGCAAGCTGGGTATGGGAGACCAATTATATAGCAAGGATTGGAGATGGGGCTCCAGTCCTAGAGGGAGCTTCCCGAAACAGTGCATGGTCTCAGATATCCATCGCAACACTACCCTCAGGATACAATGCTGAGATTCAGGAATGAGGCTCTTTATCAGAACTGGGTCTTAGCTCTGAGTTGGACCATCCTGTCGTGAAGCCTGACCAGCCAGTTTCCCAGCTGACTGTGTTTCCTGCACTCAATCTTCAGGAACGGATTTACGGTTCTCACCCACGAGCTGTCCTTCCCCTTACTTTTTTTTGTTGTCCTTCCTGGTGCTTGCTGCTGGTTTTTATGAAGAGAATGCCTTAGTCCTCCCTAATTTGTAACCCCAGAGGAGCTCTCCCGTGGTCAGGAGTGTCAGATGTACCCTCCGCGACTAGTGCCCCTGCCTGCTATAAAGCTGTCTTTTGCTGATGTCAGGGAGCTGGTGGCAGCTCTTTCCATCCTCAGGTTCTTCTCAGGCCTTTTGTTTCTGTAAGGGCTAATATTTCTTGTCGGCTTAATTGGACTTGGAATAACCTGGGAGATACACCTCTGGGTGTTTCTGTGAGCCTTTCCGGAGAGGTACAACTAAGTCCCAAAGGAATGCGGGGGGGGGGGGGGGCTCCCATCCATGGGCTGGCGTCCTGGATGGAATAGAAAAGAAAAAAGGAGAAAGAGAGCTGAGCACCAGCATCCATCTCTCTCTGCTTCCTGACTGTGAACACAATGTGTGAACTGCCTCATGCTCTGCTGCTTTTTCTTTCCCACTGTGGTGGCTTTTATCTCTTCCCCTGAGCCAAAATAAACTCCTCTTGCCTCACGTTGCATTTGTCAGGTGTTTTGACATAGTAATGAGAAAAGTAACTAATATAGTTACTCTTAAATACATTTTTAAACATTTTATTTTTATTGTATGTGTATTGATGTTTGATCTGCATATGTTTCTGTACCTCATGTATTTAGTGCTGTCAGGGGCCAGAAGAGGGTATTGGATCCTCCAGGGCTGGAGTTACGGTTATGAACCACCATGGAGGTGCTAGGAATTGAGCGTGGGCCTCCTGAAAGAGCAGCCAGTGTTCTTAATAGTTGATCCAGCTCTCCAACTCCCTTCTAAACATTTGGATTGTGGTAAAGAGCATATAACAAAAAGTTACCATCTTAATCTTTTCAGATGTAGAGTTCAGTGGCATTAAGTACATTGCATATTAAGCACAACAATCACCATCTCTCACCTACAGAACTCTTTTTATCATGCAAAACTGACTCCATACACCTATTAGAAAATAACTCTCCACCTTCCTCAGTTCCATTATGGTGCTTTCTCTCCCTACAGTTGTGTTTCCTTTAGGTACTTTGTGCGAATGGAATCAGATAGCATATGACCTTTTGTGACTGACATATTTCACTTAACACAGTGTTTTCAAGGTTATTCATATAGCATGTGTTCATATTTTCTTTTTTCTTTTTGGTTTTTCGAGACAGGGTTTCTCTGTGTAATTTTGTGCCTTTCCTGAAACTCACTTTGTAGACCACGCTGGCCTTGAACTCACAGAGATCTGCCTGCCTCTGCCTCCCTAGTGCTGGGATTAAAGGTGTGCGCCACCACCGTCCGGCTATATTTTCTTCTTATGTAAAGTTATGTGTGTATACCACATTTTGCTTATCCACTCATCTCTTGCTAAACACTTGTATTATATCTATCTTTGTTGTGTTGAATTGCAAGAGTATGGGTGAGTTTGTTGGGTTTACTTATAAGAGTATAGTTGAGGGGTTACTTACAGGATCAGAGATAACTCAAAGACAGCTGCATTACCAAATGCAGCATGGATGATGGTGCACAAAAGCTGGAAACCTGGAGTTTACTGCACAACTGTGGCTCCACACTGGAGAGTGTCCTTTTCAGGCAGCTCAGTTGGTCTGAGCCTCTTCTAGGCTTGCCTTGTTTGAGTGTCTGTTACCAGTTCTTACTATTTATGTATGTCCGGATACTGAGAGACCTTGTGAATCTGGTCAGTTTCAGGAACTTCCTGATGCTATTGAGTTGTTTGCTTTCTGGGTTTTAAGAAGATTTCTTGCAGAATGGAATGTTTTACTTTAACTTAGAATATCCAGAATATCAAGAGTCTCAATGAGCTTCCCTCTAGGATTGAATTTTTTGTTTTTTGTTTTTTATGGTTTTTCAAGACAGGGTTTCTCTGTGCAGCTTTGTGCCTTTCCTGGAACTCACTTTGGAGACTAGGCTGGCCTCGAACTCACAAAGATCCACCTGCCTCTGCCTCCCAAGTGTTGGGATTAAAGGCATGCACCATCAACACCCGGCTAGGATTGAATGTTTTATCTCAGAAAAAAAAAACTGCTATACAACAAATAAGTAAGAAGTAGCATCTCATTGTGATATGGGTTTGCATTTCTTTATGATTAGTGATGTTGACAATCTTTTCATATGTTTATTGGCCATTTGTATGTCTTCTTCAAATAAATGTCTGTTAAAACCCTTTGCTCATTTTAAACTTGAACTTTTTGATGTTGTTGAATTGTAGAAGTCCTTTATATATTTTTGATATTAATCTCTTATCAGATATATAATTTGCAAATATTTCCTTTCATTCTGTGCATTGTTTTTTACCTCTGTTGATTGTATTCTTTGATGGACTGGAATCTCTCCCCTTTCCTCCTCCTCCTGCTCCTCCTCTGCTTCCTCCACTTCTACTTTTGACTGTCACATTTGCTGCTTCTGATTTCTGTCCTTCATGTTGCTGCTAAGACTATTGTAGTTGGTATTTGTTTACTGGAAAATGTGGTTACCAGCAATTGCATTTCCTCTAAAGACAGGTCATATAAAGAAATAAAGTTAGATTGTTTTTTTCAAATTGTGTATTTTATACAATGAAAATTCACTGAGGCCATTCCATCCATTCATCCAACCTTCCATCATACAAGCAACATGCATACTGGGTGCTGGGAACACAGAGATGAACAAGCAAAGCTTGACCTGTGCAGTCACAGCTTGTCTTCCTCTGTGATGCTTCCAAGCCCTTGCCTGGGTGTCTGGGAGATTTGTGCTTCTGAATTCCTATCTCTGGAAGCACTCTCCCATCGTCATTATTGTGGTGTTTGGAATTGTTTCTGCATTCACCTTATCCCTAACTAGGAGCTGCCTATTGCGTCTTACACATCTTTGTGCACGGAAGTGGAGTGTGCTGATCCCTTGTAGATATGCCATGAATGAAGGGTACATGGCAGGACCTGCACGTGATGCCATGGCTCCACCTCAGGGCCTCTTCTGGTCCTGGTGGTCTTTCCCCTCCCCTCCCATCTTCTCCCCTCCCTCCCCTCTCCCCCCTCCCCTCTCTCTCCTCTTCCTTCCCCTCCCCCTTTCCTCCTCCTCCTCCTCCTCCTCCTCTTCTTCTCCCTCTCACCACCCCAATACAAACCTAAGGCTTCCCTTGTGGTCCTCTTCTTTTTAAAGTTGCATGCAACTTCTCTTGCTTTAGGGTTTTCCTCTCTCACATTGACTTTAAATTGTTAACTAGCTACTTCTCACTATTTCCTCAAACTGTATATTGCTACTTAATGAGGCACATCCCTCTTGGTAAGGTACAGTATACAGAGAGGTACATGTGTGGAACTGTTAGGCACAGCAGTAAGCTATAGCTGTGTCTATATAGGACGAGGGGTGGGAAATGGGATCATAGTGTCAGCCAGATCCATAGCACAAACATCCTTACATGACCTGGCAAGGACTTTGAACTCTGCACCCTAGCTAGTTGAGATTGCTTATGGAACTTTCTTTTTTTAATTTATTATTATTTTTTATGTGCATTCATGTCTTGCCTGCATACATATATCTGTGTGAGGATGTTGGATCCCTGGGAACTAGAGTTACAGACAGTTGTGAGCTGCCATGTGGGTGATGGGAATTAAACCTGGCTCCTCTGGAAGAGTAGTATGTGCTCTTAACTGCTGAGCCATCTCTCCAGCCCTGCTTATAGATTTTAATAGGAGCACTGGGACCAATTGCATGGTCACATATGGTGTCTTGGCTGCCAGTGGGCCCTGGAGCCTCATGTGTATTCGTTTGTTCTGATGGAAGTAGGAGGGTCTTAGTAAGCATTCTGTTTCCTCTGCAGGTTTCTGGGTGGAGCGCACCCCTGTGCATGAGGCAGCTCAGCGGGGCGAGAGCCTACAGCTTCAGCAGCTGATTGAGAGTGGGGCATGTGTTAATCAGGTCACCGTGGACTCCATCACACCCCTTCATGCGGCCAGTCTGCAGGGCCAGGCCCAGTGTGTGCAGCTGCTGCTGGCAGCTGGTGCCCAGGTGGGTGACCACATGGGACTGACAGCTACCTAGTTGCAGCTGTGGGAGTGGGTGGGCCAGGCTCAGGAGAGCACTAGAGAGAAGAAAAGACTCTAAGCTCATGCAAACATGGATAGACAGGGTGCTCTAGGTTGCTGAAAGCCATGGGAGGAGGTGGGATGGTTGCTGTGGACCAGAGCAGGGAAGTGTTTATGGATGGGGCAGTTTTTTTCAAAGTGGTTTAGTATCACTCTGCTCTGAGATGGTCAGGGAAGAGCAGGGCAGCCATGGACCAGGCACAGACTCTCTGGGAGCAGTTGGGCTTGGGCTGAACAGTTGCTGCGTAGGTTCAACCAACAGAATTCTGGATTCCAAGTTACCCAAGTGAGGTGCTGGTAAAACAACTGGCTTAGGGCCAGGGAACGAAAGTAAAAGAACAAACTTCTGACCTGGCTGCCTTCGCCGCATGCGTAGTTCACAGCACAGTTAGTTTTAGCTGCCGGTGGTTTCCATTCTGCAGGCTGTCTGCCTGCTTAGCGGAGCTGTCAGGATCTGCACCATCCCCTGTGCTGGTGCTTATAAAGAATATCAGGCTCTGGTCTCGGAGCTCACCAGATGAGAGCAGAGCGAAGGCAACGCACTGTTTACTCATCCCCAAAGCTTGGAATTGACCAAGTTTCACAGTTTTCAGTGTGTAACCACGTAGAAGCCAAACTTAGATAAATTCTAAGTGTGTTTTCCCTGCCCAGGGAGCTGCCTTCTTCTTGGCCTGTGATTTGTCACACAAGATGAGGCATGCTAAGCAGTATGGAGCACTTTTATTTTTATTTTTTGTAGCCAAAGCTTGAGTTAAAACCCATCTTGATACCCATTTCTCCAGCTTGCAACCTCAGCTTCTCCTTTCTGCCCTATGTTTATTATTTGCCTGGGGTGGTAGTGAGGGTGAGGCTGGGTTTTATCCTGCCCTGGGAGGGAGGGCCAAACCTTCAGTGAGGGACTTCTAGACTTAAGAGACTCCTGCGCATTCCTGCCTCCAGTCCACGTGTCTTTCGCTTTGAACTCCCTTGCCTGGCTTGGCGCATAGTGGCAAACTGGTCATTTTAAGACATCGCCTTTGCGAAGATGAATCAGTATGAAGATTACAAGCTTCATCACATTCATTCACTTCACCCTTTGACGTTGGTTTCTTCTGTTGTTTGAGGTGGATGCCCGCAACATTGATGGCAGCACCCCCCTCTGCGATGCCTGTGCCTCAGGCAGCATCGAGTGTGTGAAGCTCTTGCTGTCCTATGGGGCGAAGGTCAACCCGCCTTTGTACACAGCATCCCCGCTCCACGAGGCCTGCATGAGTGGTGAGTCTATGTGTCAGGGACCATTGAAATGGCCCGGGATGAAGCACTTAGAGCACAAAGGAGGCTGGTGGCCTGTACGGATGCGGGGAGGGACCAGTAGGATCTCTCGGTTCTTGTCTTCTTGAAGAAAAGAATTCAGTCAAGAAACATAGTTTAAGCAGAAGTATATTTATCAAAGCTAAGCAAAACAAACACTCCATGGAAAGATTGGAATGGGCTATTGCAAGGTGTGAGCAGCCCACAGAATTCTGAGTTATGGGTCATAAAGAAGTTTTTATGAACATTTGTAAGGTAGGGAGCATATTCTCCTCCTACATTATAGTGGACCAGACTTTCCACTTTAGAGTAGGTATTTCTTAGAGTATTTCTGATACTATAAGAAAACAAACCCCACAAAAGGAGAGGTGTATGTCAAAAACCTCAATGCCAGCGGTATTAATGATGTCAGGCTTGGGGATGTGGACCCTTCATTAACGTGCATGTGTGGGGAAAGGCCTCGGTGCCTTCATTACTGATACACTGGGAACAACCTAACTGAAGCTTCGATGATGCCTCTCCACATGGGATACTTGACCATCAGGAGACACAGCTGCTAAGATGTACGTGGTTACCTCCCATCTAACTCCTTGCCCACCCAATAGCAAGTAGGATTTGATCTGAGGGAAAGGTGCAAAAATGAGATAAGAAGTGACTCAGGCTAAGCTGGGAACAATGGCACTGACTGCAAAGAATTTATCTAGGAGCAGGGACCTCTGGGAAAGGGACTGACTTTGTGCTGGTTGTAATGTTAAGATGAGCATGGCTAGCAGTAGGTGTAGGTTTTAGGGATGGGGATGGTTACTGGGTAGCTATCAGCAATAAGAAGGTAATTAAGTGATATGGGAAGATGGATGCCCGGCGGTGGTGGCACATGCCTTTAATCCTGGCACTCAGGAGGCAGAGGCAGGGTCTACAGAGTGAGCTCCAGGACAGCCAAGGCTACACAGAAAAACCCTGTCTAAAAAAAAAAAAAAAAAAAAAACACACAGCAGCAACAACAAACAAACAAAAACAAAAGCAAAAAAAAAAGAAAGAAAGAAAGAAAGAAAGAAAGAAAGAAAGAAAGAAAGAAAGAAAGAAAGAAAGAAAGAAAGAAAGAGAAGATGGAGTCTGTGGCAGAATCTTCTTGGAAAGGAGAGAAACGCCCCCCCCCCCATCCAAACTGGCTCTGAAGACAGGAGGAACAGGAAGAGGCCCAAAGAGGTGCCAGAGAAAAGAGATTGGCAGGATGCCAGCAGCTATGTGTGTTTTCTATAGCCTGGATGTTCCCCAGGAACTTGGAGATGAGGATCAGGATAGTCTTTGATCCCTGTGTCCAAGTGGTTTCCATGTCTTCTGTACTCAGCAGGGAAGCGGCTGTGACCCATTCCTTTTACTACCAAGTGAACTCCTGAGGGGAGAGATGTCTTTGTATTCTTCTAGGGCCATGCAGAATTACCAACCACTTTGTATGTTGACGTACGTGGGGGACCAGCTGGGAGACTGGTTCCCACATTTTACCCCAGGGTACTCTTGAGGAGAGGGATAAGAGATATATAGACAGAAGGATAGAGGGGAGAGAAACAGAAACACAGGATAGCCTCAGGAGAGCCTAGATCCTTATCCACGTGCCCCCTCCTGTCTCTTCTAAAGGGCTATTTATAGGAATGCCAAGGGGTGGGGCAAAAGACCTTCCACAGCACAGCTAAGTGCAGATCATCCAGTCACCTAGAAACCATGGACATGGTCAAGCAATCCTCTAATGCAGCTCTGCTGGGTAAAGCAAGCTCAGATCTCACTAGGAAACCTTTGTGGGCCTCCACAGAAATATAGGCTGCTTACCCTCTGTTCCTTGCAGGACCAGCTTTTCAGCTGCTGTTTGTTCTGGTTACCATCTCCAGTATACGTATTCATGAACATTTCCATCTTTCTCCATTTCTTTTAAGGGAGTTCTGAATGTGTGAGGCTTCTTATTGACGTTGGGGCCAATCTGGAAGCTCACGATTGCCACTTCGGGACCCCTCTACATGTTGCCTGTGCACGAGAGCATTTGGACTGTGTCAAAGTGTTACTCAATGCAGGTATGCTGCTGTTTACCCAAACTAGTATTCACCTGAGTGGATGACTTACCTGCGCTTTGCTAGCAGAGGTCTGGGTAGTGGACAGACAGGAAAGGGCTTGAAATTGGTTCTCCTACTCCTCGGAGAGACCTTGTGCCTTAGCCTCTGTATCTATAGAACTAGAAAAAGAAAACCTATTTTTCCAGGTGTTGGGAATATTCTCAATAATGTTTCTGCAATGTCTGGTATACAGTCAACACTTAGTAAATGCATGTGACTACTTTATTATGTGTGTGTGTGTGTGTGTGTGTGTGTGTGTGTGTGTGTGTGTGTGTTGTACGTGCACCAGAGGGGGATATCAGATGTCCTGCTCTACCACTCTCTGCTCTGCCTTACTCCCTTTAGACAGGGTCTCACTGAATTTCAAGATAGGCTGGCAGCCAGCAAGCCTCAGTGATCCTCCTCTCTCTACCCCTCCCAGAACATGGTCACAGGCCACAGAGCCGTGCTTTTTATACGGGGCCTGGAGATTTGAACTCAGGTCCTCTTGTTTGCACAGCAAGTACTCCTGCTTGATGAGCTATCCCCTCAGGCCCGTGAATGGTTATTTTTAGTGAACACAGGCAGCTGTCCAGAATGTCTGCCTGATGAGGTTTTCTGTCTGAATCTGAGTCAGAGGTATAATGGGAAATGGGGTTGGCGGCACATAGGAGAATGGAGCACGTATAATCTGGCTTGTGGTGGGTGTTTGAAAAAGTTCCCTGCAGAGAGATTCCCAAAGTGAACAGAAGGTCTACACATGTTTGGGATAGATGAAGTCTTTTTGTTTTTCTGAATACTTAAATCTTTGGCTGGTTGACTCCACGAATACAGAATCCAACCGCACCTAGATGGCTGTTGGAATGAAGAAGCCAATTACAACTGGGTGAACAATGAAGGTCGTTTTTGGTTCATGTGACAAAATGTGAGAAGTGTAGCAGAAGTATAGTCATTTTGATCTCATGGTTCAAGTGTCATTATGCCGTTGAATTTGAAATCTGCTTTTCTTAGTGTTAGCTATTTGCTATGGTAGTGGATAAATGGATGCAGCTGATACAAGCTGTGTGTGTGTGTGTGTGTGTG